TTTTTGAATTACTTGAAGATTAATTTAAAGAGACTATTTAATTTATCTTTTTTTGCGCTATTTTTCATAATATTGAAATAAAAATATCGTTTTTTTAGACATAAAATTAACTTTGAAAAATTCAGGAAATAATTTTTTTCCATTAACAGATTTTTACAAAAAAATAATGAAAACGCATATTTATGCTTTCTTATCTTATATGATTCAGTAGCTATGTCAAATGACTTATCTAGACATAGCTTTTGTGTGTGTGTGTGTGTGTGTGTGTGTGTGTGTGTGTGTGTGTGTGTGTGTGTGTGTGTGTGTGTGTGTGTGGCGCGTGCGAGCGTGCGTGCGTGTGTATGTGTACACATACAAAGTAAATACAGTTAAGATAAATAATATTAAATCTCATAAGAAAGACGTATACATGAGAACACAATTTATAGAAAATAAATGCCTTAAGTTTAGCTAAATCTTAAATGTTTATATAATTCTGTGTGAATTTATATACTACGTAGAGTAGTTCTTTAAACTACGTGCCGAAATTATTTTTCGATCTTGAAACGCAAACTCTACTAAATCATCACAGTAATATCACGAGTTAAATTGACTAGCAATTTAATAATTTGATGCTCTTTATGAATCTTAAAACGATCTTATAATAATGCTGAATGACATATTAAAATCTGTAAATAATTAATTCTTATTGCGAAAAATATTATCTCGGCCGAAAATCGAACCTGGATCTCTAGCATTCTGTACGACCGTTTTAAGACCGTTTTGTGATTTAAGATCGAAAAATCATTTCGGCTTGCAGTTTAAAGGACTATATATGTAGTATAAATTCATACAGAATTATATAAGCACTTATGATCGAGCTAGACTGTTTAAAGTATTTATTTCCTACAGAATTAAGATTGGATGCATCCAGTATTATGACTGCTCACTGAGCGTTCAGTGAGCGGTTATAATACTGGATACATCCAATTAAAAACTAAACTATATTACATCAACTGATAATAACGATATAAATTGACGTATGTATACTTGTAACATACATCACATGCACGCGCGCGCGCGCGCGCGCGCACACACACACACACACACACACACACACACACACACACACACACACACACACACCTCAATATACGCACCTCGATAATAGTACTAATACCAGTAGGAATGAGAACAAGTAAGGAAGAACCTTCATCGCAAAGATAAAGGAAAATCACAGTTTGACTGAATGCACGCCATATCACAGTCCATTTGCTGAGACCTATGAGATTACTCTTCTTCCGCCAAAAGCTAACATCATTTTTAATAGCAAGGAAATCGAACAACAACTGTAAACGAAAAATTGGCGCTCTCTTTTATTTTACGTTTTTTTCAATTTTTATGATGCATGTAATATTTATACTTGTTGTACTCACATGTACAGCTGCAATGAAGAAGGTTCCACCTAGTAGGTAAATGTTAGTATCTGCAAAGATGCCCTTTACTTCATCGACATCTCTGTCGGAGAAGCCGAGATTCTTGAGATTCTCCATCGTTGCTTGCACGTGCAACACTAATCTTAACTTTCCTAAAGACACAGGTGAATATTCTACTGCAACGTTCATCGTATTATTTTGTGGAGTAATCCGCTGAAGATCCCGATGCCGTGTTCTTAAGAAATCACAGTTCACTATTGGCAAAAATGTCTGTTTGCCAATTATTCTGCAATAAACAAGCAAGGTAATTTTTAGCAATTAGCAATTATTCGAGATATACGTATGTTGTGTTGCACAAATAGAATAAAAATTTATATACTTTATATGGTTTACGAGTTCGGCAGGTATGCCATATATAGGAAGCGTAACGTTGTCTGTCATTATTGTAAATGTCACACGACTTTTCATGTGTGAGACTGGACGTATAACAATCTGGCTATTAGCTTTCTCCACTGTGCGATCACCTAATAACTTGAATGCCTCTGCTTCAGGTACTATGTATTGTGTCATTTTAATTGCAGTGTACGAAGTAAATATATCCTGTAAAGATATAATTAAAGTGGTATAGAATAGATAGAATGTTGGAGAGTCCAACAAACAAGTGTTTACATATACATATATCACAATATTACATATCGCAAACTTTACTTTTTGCAAATCGATAAATGTCCTGTCCTGTTTTATAAAAGGAGGCACTAAAAATATATGTAAAAACAATGTTCCATTCCGCCGTGTCTCATGTGGTACAGTCAGTATCACTGGACTGTAAGAAAGAAAGTACATTCATTAGATTTGCAAGAGGAGAAAAGTCTCCTTCATTTTCATATAATGTTCTTGTCTTGAATTTATGTAAATCGATTCTCTCCCTCTCTCAAAAAAAAAAAACCCCAAAAAGGCACGAACAATGACTACATTTACATGGTACGCTTAATCCGGTCTAATAATATCTGTAGGTATGAAACTGATCAATCAAGAATAACCATGATTGATTAATTTCATAATTACGAATATTATTAAACCCAATTAAGCAAGCTGTGTAAATATAATCAATAGCACATTCAAAAAAAATATATTAAGGATGCCCAAAAAGAGACTAATGGAGCACTTATACCGACCATAAACTGTTAATTTGTACTATAACCAGTAAAGTTTAACACAATTTTAATGTTTTCGTTCATAATGAATTACGAGATGCATATAACTTGTGTCATAACCATAAAGTTAATTCAAATTTGCGTTTCTTACATATACAGTTCTAAAGATATAATATTGTTAATTCAAATTTAAATTTTACAGCAAATGGCAGCATGTAAATCTATGTAAAGTATTATATTTACTGATTACGGCACAGAGTTTACAGCCAGTATAAACTCTCCCTTAATTAACATGAATAGTCTGATTAAGAACGAGACGATTCCACTTAATATTCGCAATGTTCGTGAGCATCATTTCATCTTTATCGTTTTCAAACAATATTAAACAAGGATGAAATGATGATCGCGAGCGTTGTGAATGTTAACTGGAACACGCCCTAAATGATGCTTATGGGGATACTCACATGATTTGCATTTGATTGTAATCAAAGTTTTGTGCAGAATATATGAGATCAGCATCTCTGTTGATGGGATTTCTTTTAATGGAGCTATACATATACAAATCCAACTGCGGTCGTTCGCTCAGGTACGACTCAAGGCACGGTTTGCCATCCTCGCAAGCCGGCGATACGAATAACAGGGATAACGTGTATATCGAATAGACGATATATGCCAAAAATATCTCGGAAAGAATAACACTGAGCGAAGGCCACTGCATTTCAGCTAATTTCGATGTGAATACCTTGAGAAGTATCTGTATGTATTACAAAAGATAGATGCATACATTACAACATTACATTGGTTCTTACATGCTTTGATTTTCATTCAAGCAGTAAGTGAACAATGTGTTTATACGCGTCCAATTACAACCCGACTAATCCAGCTTAAGCCTGGCAAAGCCTAGCTATGGCTATCACTGAATGCTTTCCATTTGGTGATACAAGTCGACACAAACATCATTTTATCTTTCTTCAGAAAGTAACAAAAATAAAACGACACTTGTGTCGTTTTGTATTATCAAATGGAAAGCACCTTTTATTCCTCTCTGAATGTCAAAAAAAGAATAGATAGAATGATGTTTGTATAGATTCTTATCACTAAATGGACAGCTCCACTAGGTATTCACCACTCAGTCAGTCCACCAGCGATCTTCGTGGCTTTGTGTGTCTTGAATGCGGAGTGCTTCTTCTTCTTCTTCTTTTTCTTCTCAACTCAATTGTCTGTTTGGTTTTCTGACTCACTATGAAAGGTCACAATATCATGCCATAAATTTATGTATATCTCATGGTGAAAAGATTACATGATATACTTGGTTTGCGAGCGTCTCTTCCTAATTCACTGTCCTCTCGCTTCTTCTTCTTCTTCTTCTTCTTCTATAATTCTCTGCTTAGATTTCTGACCCAATATAAAAGGTCATCGTATCATATGAAAAATTGGATCCAAAGATCCAAAAATCCTGTGATGGCTGTAATGGCCTCCTTGGGGTCTTGAGCTCGCATTGACGCATTGGGCTTGGGCTGATATAACGTTCGCCGCTGAATCACAAATGCGAACGTACTTTCATTTAGTTCTAAGAGATCGCGCCACACGTACAATGCAGTGCATTAATTCGCTGGGTCATAGTAGCGATCCGACTTATCGAAAATAAGAAAATATAGTACTAAAAAGTTGATAAAAATTTTGAAAAAATTCTTAAAGAATTCTCTATGAGAAGAAAATAAATGATTTTTATCTCTTGCAGTTTTTCTATAAAGTTGATAGTATTTGAGTAAAAAATAAATGTAGATAAGTCAGGCCGCTACTAAGATCCAGCGAATTAATACACTCAGAGAATATATACCATTTTTGAATTAGCGCATAGAAAGAAACCTGGAGATCAATTCTGTATCTTGAAACGAAATGAAAACTAAAGTAAGCAAATTTACTAGAGGTTGATCAATGAAATTATCAGTATTTTAGTAAATTCGTTCACTTCTGTAATTTTCATCTCCTTTCAAGATACAGAATCGATCCCCTGAAAGAAGACAAGACGGATGATTGAATCGTGCTACATGTAACACGATTATATGAATCTTACATCTAAGACTGTCTTAAGATGTTATAAGTCAATCCGAGAATTGTATTAGTATCCTAGCATTATTTAAGAGACAGTTTTAAAATAAAAAATGGACTATGAGTATCGTTTCATGTTTAGTGTTTCAGTTGGCAGCCTTAGTCTCTTATCGACATTTATAAGGTCTGTTTTCTATGGCTGAATTAGTATTCACTTTTGGAACTTGAAGTGAGGTAGGTTTGATATTTTTGTTGAAAATGAGAAAGAGAGTGGTAGTGCAGTCTAGTGCAGGAACAGAAAACAGACCATAGACAAAGATGGCAATGATTCGGAGAGAGATGCTTGCAAATTGCATACCATGGCATCCCTTCCACCATGCTCCCATCTGTACTGTGTGATGTTGTGTCGTATCGTAATGTCTTCAGCAATCGTCAGCTTTACTTAATGTCAAATGTGTTTTTATTATTGCATTGCACTAAAGCTTACTTTTTTCGCCAAATTTCAAGTATATACTTACTTCTCTTAAAATAAAGAGTGTATAAAGAGTATACTAACATGTACGTATGTAAGTATGTACATACAGCTGCAAGTCTCAGGCCAGTTCTTCTCTTTGCTCTTTAATTTGACACTTATCTGGAATGTCTGACATCGTCGACGATAACAAAACGATTACCAACAAATACCAATTTGAAAAATTTCGTTTTCACTTGGTATCTTTAACGATATAGGAGATTTATTGACAAAATATATTAATTGGAATTCGCAGTATACAATTGAAGAGAGAATTCCATGACATAAGAAGAGAGAAGTAATGATAATTTTTGAAGAACATCAGATTCAAGATACGTATGTAAGTATGATAATGAAACTAGCTGATAATATATATATATATAT